CCCCCCCCAAAAAAAATAATCCGAAGTGCCCCCCCCCTCCAAAGGGGGGGGGGGGATTTCTAAAATAATCACTATATGTCATGATCACTGCACCATTACATATAACTTGTATAATGCAACTTTTTCATTAAGATTTTTTTTCCGTTAAACAAAGTCAATGACGTTGGTAAATTGTATGACTTTATTAAGCTAGTTGCTATGATTATCATCCATGACAACATATCAACTGACAACTCGTAAGCTAGTAAGTAAGATTAATTCCCCTGCCCCTAAACTTTATGAAATCAGTGACCCGGCGTGGCTGCTGAGTAACTATGTTTGCGATGATAAATTCCGACTCCGGCACCTCGGAAAAGTGTCCTAATTCTGTTATAATTAATGTTAATAAATGGCCACACAAAAAAAAGGCCACATAAGAATACCCGAAAATAGGGCATAGAAGTAGAGGCCCCACTTCCCCAAAATAAAGTCAAAATCCTGCAATTGAAAACAATTAGGCTACAAGAATAGTGGGGAACCCACGAGACACTTCATTCCAAACACGTGCCTTATAAATGGGTTATTTTGGTAAATTATTATTACTCATGCAGGATGAAAATTAATATATATATTTTATAAGCGATATAATAATTTTGGAATCTCTCTTCCGGAAATAACCCTACTCGCCATGACCTTCTTTAAATAATAAAATCACAAAATCGATGAAAGTAGTCTTGTGTGATTCAATAATATAGTTGGCATCTGGTACAGTCGCTACCGTTGCTTGCTATCGCGATAACATCATATTGATATTGAATTTGCAGAAAATTCTATACGTAAGTGGAACTATATTAATAGATCTAGGTCGTATTAATTTACTATAAATGAAAATGTGTGTTAAGTTATATTTATATAAGATAATTTAAATTTAATTAATAATGAAACATTGAATTAAAAGAAAAGTATCATTGTATGTATCATAGATTTCATAGTCATGTATAGAAGTAGAAGAATGTAAATGATGTTTGTTTAAGTTCTATCTACTAAGATTTTAAGAATTAGAAGTCTAAGTCTAATGATTAATCCAAATCAGTAACAATAATCTAAAATGATGTCAGACTTATCAACTCTACTGATGATTTCATAATTAAATTAATGACAATTAGTTTGGTAAATTCACAGAAGAGATGCCATGTTTTTTTTTCCAATCGCCACCATCTAGGTTGACAAGACCAGTTAATTCTGTCACTAAATCTAAGTAAATATATCCCTAATCCTAAACTGAACCCTAAATGTATCTCTAAACCTAACCTTAACCCTAAACTAAATGTATCCCTAAACTTAAACCTAATCTGAACTGAACCCTAAATGTATCCCTAAACCTAACCTGAACCCTAATTAGGCTAATTCATGGCAACTTCATTAAATGCGCAAATTACGTCGAGGCATCCCATCCTAGGTTTAGCCATTATTTCAATTAGTATCGAGTATTAGTATTGGCATGGATAGGGCTATTTTGATTACGAAGTGGCTATTCGGACCCAGTATCAGAAGTGAGAGGTTGAATTTTCTAAAAATGTTAAAATTACTATTGTTGGGTTTTAAGAAAAAAAATGGTATCAAATGAAAGATAATTGAATGGACTATACGTTTATAAACTTACTTCTTCAGTTTAACTAAAATAAACTACCACAAATGACGTTGGAATAGCATTTAGTCTGATGGGACTAGGGCACGCATGGCCGCTATTCAGCCCCGGGTCACTTTAGACTAAATGCTATTCAGATATAGCTGCAGCGTTTTGATTAATCTAAGTCTAGGCCTATGCCAATGCCTATATTATATACAGAAATTTTAAATTGATTAAATTTAAATATTGTGGATTGCTCGATTGCCATAAAAGATGTATCATATTAAAGGGCTGGTAACACTATAAGTATAAGCTTCCCAAAAACATAAATTTAATCTTGCTATCTTTAATAGAAGTTGAGTTGTAATTTTTTTTTTAATGAATTTTTAAATCCCTTTGCCCTCTATATAATCTATATATTTTACCTCAAACACTTGTGACCTACATTTCAAATTTCTGCACAAAACTTTTTTGTCTACAACATTTTTATTTTTAAATATAATTGCACCAAATTTTTAGGAGATATTCACAATTTAATATACAACACAGAGAATAGCAAAACTTCAACATTATATCAAGAAATTATATTTTGGAATCTACATTCAAAAGCGCCTCATTGTCAATGGAAGGAATTCCACAAAGTTCTTCAATATAAAATTTAAATTTTCTCATGTAAAGCAATTATTTAAACACAAATTTGACAAAGTATGCAGTTTTTCAAAAAATACTGTGTAGCTATATCCATATTATAGAACAAGCTTGATCAACATTTTGCTACATATGCAGTACAGTGCACAGTGGAGTATCAATATACCTACTATACTGTATGTGACTGGGTGGCCAAATGGTCTAAACTGAGCAAACCTCAAGTTGGTGGTCTGGTGTTCAATTCCAGCCAAAACATCACCCCGGGTGGATGAGACTCGTTAACCTTGGTCGGCAACTCATCTAAGAGAAGGAAACTCTGAATTCAATCCCGGAGTTGGAGTCCCGTAAGGCGCAAACAATTCCTGCAACTGAACCCATCCCTGTTCGTCTTGACGTAGAGTCTTGCCACTGGATATGGTGGGCTTGGACGAGAGAGTGAGGTAGACGCCGCGCAACTCTTCTTCACTTTAAACAAAAGTCACCCGAGCAAGTCATCAGTCACCAGTCACCAGATGAATCGATGGTCCTCGTCGATCCTTGACGGACGAACAACTATACTGTATAGTCTAGTATTATACTATATCATGTGGAGAAAGGGTAGACCATTAATCAATTTAATAGCTAATGGCCTTATTAAAATAACTGAACTGAAGGATGCAGACTGTCCCCTCAGATTTCCAACAAACATCTATAATTCAAACCTTGTTGAGCATAGAGATAGACCTTAATCTAATCACTACTAAGAAATGTGGACCTCCCTTGGAAAAGTCAAGTCAAAGCAACCAGTGACTCCACAAAGGAGTGTGCCATAGTTAAGAGATGTGTGTACCAATTCCATTAAGGGCAATGAAGGCTAACAACATTCAAGTGTCAATACTTGATAATAGGTGACAGGGGAAGCAGCTCATTTGGAAATGGCCTTTGTAAACCTGTTCATGAGTTGACATAATATACTTCTTTTTTAAAAACTAATTCTATCAGTCTAAAATACTTGTTTTAAAAGAAATAGTAATAATAATTAGCTATAATAGTACTAAGGAATCCACTGCTATCTTACTGGGAACACTGCTGTTACATGTATTCAAAGTTGAGTAAATAAATATACCCAAAATACACACATTTCATAGACAAAATTGTGGCTAGTATAAAGGAAACCGTCCCATTACCTGAAAACTGTGTTGGGAATGTATTGAGTCTGGATGGCACAATGGCAAGTTTTGCAACGGCTGCGTCCACATGGCTCTATCCCAAAGTGGGAGGGGGCAGTGCGGATGCACATGGGGATCTTGATGATTTTTATCCCTTCTGAAAACAATTAGAGACAGCGAAGAGAAAATGTTGTGGGTGTCGGGATCAGTGAGGAGAAAAGCATGGTTTTTAAGAAAAACTTGTTTGACTATGAGATTGTGAGGATATTTTAGAATAAGTTTGGATCTGTCGCCATTGTCACTCGAACAAGACCTGAAAGCATGAGTAATATTTTTAAACTGTTAAAGGGAAGATGAAAGTACTGTCTCTGGGAAGGACCTACAACGTAAATAGTCAATCATCTGAAGAGCCTTGTCCCAAAAGTTATCCGACTAGCAAAGAAGACAAAGTAGTTTAGAAGAGAAAATAGAGTCTTTACAAAATTTAGGGGTGGGGGGGGTGATTAGAGTAAATAGCTGTGGCTGTCTGTTGGTTTAAAGTAGGTGGAGCTGAGTAGGCTGTCTTTGGGAAGTTTGATCTATGTCCAAATGTTACCAGTGATGTGAATTTAATGGAGGGGTCAAAAGAGCCTAGAAAGTTGATGAAAAGGATAAGTTCACTCCTTTCCATGGTGGTGACCGCAATACCATCATGGATATAACTTTGTCAAATTCAGGGAGGCGCCGGTGTAGTTTCTCTCTAACATGTGTTTGAACTTTCCTATAAACAAACATCCATAGCTGGGTCCCATTTTAGTTCCCATAGCAACACCGCTGATTTGGTCAAAGATTAGGCATTTAACTCAAACAAATTGCAGGTGAGAACAAGTTCAGCCATTTAGAGGAGGGTGTTAGAAGGTATAGATGGATGGGGCTTACTCTCGCGAAAGAATTGTAAAGCTAAGATACAGTCAGTATAAGGGATTGAAGTAAATAATGAACATACAAAAAGCAGAAATAGATAATTTTTGGATAATAATGGGCAGTCAAGCTACAATGTATTAAAGTAACATTGTTAATGTTCTAAGCCTGTGGTTAAATAAACAAAACATGACATATCAAAGTAATTTGAAGAGTTGGTTTTATCATATTGACATCTCAGGAAAAACTTGTAATGTTATTTGGTGTCCCCTTTCTCATTGTATAAACATCAAAGATGTCCGTACATTTTATATAGTCTTTGTTGTTGTGATAACTGGTCAGTTATTGTTGTTCTATTGCATAAACATGTTTGTTAGTGTCATGTGTAATTATGGTATCATTCATATCTATTACCCGCATTTGTCTTTTTTGTCACAGTTAGTCAGTTAGTGCTAATCGTTGACTAATATTTTTTTTAAAAAAAAAAGAAATTTCAAAATGCCTTTGCTTTTATCAAAAACTTTAGTTTGTAATATATGATTCTGTTCATTTATTTCTCAAAAAATTGTTTAGGCTATGACAACATCTAATTTGAATGCTGGATCCAGGTACCTTAATGATAAATTAAGAGTAGTAATCATTCATTGGAAATGGGTTTATTAGTTACTCTTAGTGTGGGTTTACTTTTTATATAGTTATTCCCACATGCTTTTTTCCCCAGATGTTTTGCATTATGGAGTGATATGCAAGAACCTTTTAATTTTCATGTTCTTAATTTTTTTGTAGTATGATGTAAAATAAGGCTTATGTGGAAGGCATGCATTAATCTATTATAGGTGGACAAAATATTGTTACATTTCACAATCATAAGCCTGACCATTAACAAATCTCTTTAGATAAAAATGCATTTAGTCATCAATCAAGTGTAAGTTGTTATTTCTATATGATCATTGTTATTCTAGGTTATAAAGTTTCAATGCTAGCTTCTCATGAAAATGTTCTTTAAAATGAAGTAGTCAAGCTTAACATTAATCAGTTGTGCTTGTAGTTGTACACTATGCCCCAGAACTGTAATGTTTGTATTAAATTCATGACAAATTTGCTAATCATTCAAAATACGCATTATTGATTTTAAAATTATAAGTTTTATACACTGTAAATAAAGTTAGCTTGGCAGGAAAATATGCCAGTTTTGATGTGCCATTGTAACCTGAATTTTTCTCAATACAATATGAATATTGTACGGGGGGGGGGGGGGGCATGCTTCACATTTTTCATTTAACCACAAATAGAAGTTAAGAGATCTCGAAAGTGACTTTGCTACATTTGATTGAGTGAATAACAAAGGTGGCTAGGGAATTCATTAGTTAGTCAGGAGGCTACTTCAGAGAGGAGTGCAAAAAGCTGCAGTAAATTAATTATGGTACTGAATATTTTTAGTTCTAAGCATTCAACAAATATGTTAGTAACATTAATTTGTTTCTCTATGTGGCACAAATTTGAATGGTAAAAATATTCCCTTAAAAAAAGTGTCAGTTGTGATTTGCTAGCTTTTCACCATATCAGTATTTATTTTTTAAAACAATCTCTCTGTGAAAGATAAATTTATCCAATTAGCTGGGTTATGCCCTGTGCTAATTAGTTAAGTTCCTGGATGAATGATTACAGCTAACACAGCCTCTGTGGATTTGAATAGGTTTGCATATTAAACACTGGCATCATTAACTTTGCCCTGAACAACTGTTGTGTTGGTATACAGTGGACTTACTTTAATTAATCCTGCTTCAAATGGACACGTGCTTTCTCCCTTAGAATAATAATTATGGATTTCATTATTCGGTTATTTTTCTTTTAACAATGAGTTGTTTTTTTTTCTTTTTTCACTAGTAAACTCATTTTTTTTAAATTGGTTGCATATTTCATGGTTTGTATCATCATACTTGTTGGTAATGATGGAATGTTCACAGAAATACCATCCGTAAAATATAGTATCTAATTAATTTTTTTTAAAAACATTTGACTGAATTGCAATTCTCTGTGGATTGAGAATAGGAAATGTAATAGTTTTGTAGAGTCCATTAGTTTAACCCTCGAACTGAGGCATGCATCATTCTGTGGTGTGGAGCTTTTTGAGTGCCTTTTGAAATTGCATTAAATGACATAGAAATATTGATGCAAGACCCCAATAATTACATATTTTTAGAAAGGTAAATGGATGGGCATAAAGTTGCTTATATTGCCCACCCCGTAAAAAAATATTTGCTCAGTGTCCTTGACCTTGGAGTGCTCAAGAAAATAAAAATCGACACTATGTATTGTGTTCAAGTACTCATAACATCATTAATTTTTATAGATACACTTAAAACACAAATCTAAATGTTGTAGCCAATTCATTTATCTTTCAGAAAATGTATAGTTTGCTAAGGTTTTGATTACAATTAAACCTCTGAAAGCACTTTTGTCATTTTATGTCATTTATTTAAGAAACTGGGACCACAGCTAAAGCCAAGTACAAAATAAAAAATCTCAGGCAAAATAGTTATTATTGACTAGTAAACATTTAAAAAGGCACTGTGAAACTGATTTGGGTTGTAATACTGTCAAATTTATTAGTTCTGATCTATAATCTGTAGCTTCTGTGACTAAAATTCAGTCAGTCCTTGCCCAACCTCCCGGGCGTGGCTCGAAGTCAAACAGTAGCCCCAGTAGGCCTACTTCAGTATCACTAGGACTTGTATCAGATTCGCGAAAATAAGAATCTGAAGTGAGATGTCATGGGGAATGTTAAAATCATCATCAGTATCACTTAAATCCTCTCCTAAAAAGCTTTCAACAATATTTATATTAGTTCTTGCACTGAAGGCCCGGTCATAGCTTCCGTCATTTTAGCTTTAAAAAAAAACAGCGATATAAAATTCCGATTAAAAAGTACTTATTGATAAGTTATCAAGATACAGCTTGACCAAGAAGTTGATTTAATTATTAATAAAAGAAAGTGGCTATGATTTCAGTTAAATATTGGATTGGAAGTTGCTATCTGACCGTGTTTTTTATCGGCCGATTTTTTCACCCGCCACAGCACAGAACGAGAATATCGGCCAATTGAGCGGTCGACCACAGTTCGAGGGTTAAGATGTCAAATTGTTACATCAAATTCACTTTGGAGGATAATAATTTTATATGGCCAATAAATTAACTGTAGGGACAGCAGCTTATCATGAAGCTATGTTATTCAGTATACCACACAAGTCATTATTGTCATAAACACTGCGAAGTGCCCTTTGCTGTTGCAGATATGGGGGAAAAAAACACATTTAAAAATTCATATTGTGTGAACGGAATGATGCTAACAGTTACCCATGCATAACAAAAATCTTTTTTTAAAGAATTGAACAACTACCGGTAACATGAAATAAATTTCTTTTTATAAATTGCAACAATCTTGGTTTACCATAATCTGAGATGTAGAATTAAGCATTGTATGATGGTATGGAACAGATAAAAATATGGTAACTTATTAACTCTATATATTTTATTCAGTAAGTCAGTATATGACCCGATTACTGAATACAGCTTCATAGTGCTGCTAGTGAGTGCTAGTTGTTCATCAAAGGTTACCCAAGCTTCTAAGATTTTATAATCAAGAGCTTTAATGTTCCCCCTATTACAGTTTAAAATCCTGTGTATTTCAGCCAAGATGTATCTTGATCAGTTTGTACTGTCTGTGTAGAGGTATAAAAATAGTCTCAGACTGAAACAATGCTGACCCATATCACATGATTTAATTCTTATAGCAATAACATGAGTCATCCTGCTATAAAATCTTCTACTAGGGTATTACCATCATTAATAACTTGTTACACAATTAATATTAATAAAATACAATACAGCTAATGCTACAATAAATCTAATGATTAAATTACTGTCACTCAGAATAATTATGATAAAACCTGTTGCCAACCATGGCATAAAAGATAGAGCTATTAGAATATCCCCCATTGTTGTATTCTTTGTTGTTTTGTGTCAAACTGTGTTTTGAAGTGAATCAAACTTTTTTTAAAAATGCATTCATACTAAATAAAGTTAGCGTTCAACTTTTTATTTTCTCAAATTTGTGGAGTAATTTTCTGGAGATATTTTATATTAATTCCGTACATATTTTTTTTTGAAATGACTACAGATTTTTTTTTGAAATGACTACAGATTTTCTTGAAATGACTGGCTATCCTGTTAACTTTTTAAATTTTTCAGACAGAGGATGTACTTTGATGGCAATGCTGCAAGCTCAGCAGACATGCGTTACTTTAACTGGGTGGTGCTGTTTGTGCAAGTCCTGGGCGTGGTGTCAGTGGTCATAACAGCTGTTTGGATGGGCCACTTTCGAGGTGGCTTTGCTTGGCAAAGTGATCCTTCACATGAGTTCAATTATCACCCTCTTTTCATGATTATTGGCATGGTTTTCTTGTATGCAGATGGTAAGGAGTTTTTCCAAAAGTGTGAGCTATGTATACAAAAAAAGGAATTGTGTTTGCATTGACTGTAAATAATGATTGTTTTCTCTTTCATCACATATTTTTATTATGTTTTATTAAATAAGGAACAATCTTTTGTTATACTCTTTGCCAAAAGGATCTTTTAAATTTTAACATATCTGATGTGCATATATTTTGAATTATTGCAAGAAATATTTTATTTTATTGTACTGTTTTTTTTTAAATTTTTGTAACAAATGTAATATGCTTCTTTTTTTTTAGAAAGTAACAATTTATATCTAACTATCTTCAGCAATACTGGCTTATCGGGTTTTCAGGAATGATCGTAAAATCTTCATTAAAGTCCTCCATGCCTGCATGCATATAAGTGCACTCATATTTGCTGCTGTTGGTTTGAAGGCTGTATTTGATTCCCATAACTTGAATCCCAAGGGCCCAATACCAAATCTTTATTCTCTGCATAGCTGGCTAGGACTCTTTGTTGTCGTTTGTTTTGGGCTACAGGTAATTATCTCATGTTTGATCAATAGGATTGTAATTTATTTTTATAATGCTTCTTGATTTAATGTTATAGTATTGGGAGAAGACAGTATGTTCTGAAAAATGTGCCTTAGTGTGGAAGATATTGTGACTTCTTGTCATGCCAAATGGGAAGGTTGATTTTAAATATTTTTACCTATTTTAGTTTTGCCCTTCCAACCTTAAAAGTTGCACCATTTTAAGAACCTGAACAGATAATCCATGATTTTCATGTCATCAAATCCAGAGCTTAAAATACTTTGTATTTTTCTACGGTGTTAAAATGGATGGGTTAATGAATCATGCATGGCAAATAAATATAAACATGATTTAATTTATTTCAGTGGCTTTTAGGCTTTATTTCATTCCTGTGGCCTAAGCTGGGCATGAGAGCTCGGACCCTGTACATGCCCTACCACACGTTTTGGGGAGTTGTGCTACTTATCCTGGCCACAGCTACAGCTCTCATGGGGATTACAGAAAAAGCCATTTTTCATAAAGAGTAAACTATGAACATATCTTATGGCAGCTGAGATTTATGAGAAACTTTTTATTAGCAGCTTTTCGTTGAATAAAATACCTTTCATATGGACAAACTTTAGTTTTAGTATTGGTAATATATTTTATCACATTATTTTTAATTCATCTTTTTATTTTTTTCCAAAGAAAACTTTTTTGACATATTTATGCATTTCTTTTTAAACAGTGAGATCGGCTACACATCTTTTTCCAGTGAAGCAATCCTGATTAACTGTCTAGGAGTCATCCTTGTGTCATTTACTGGTCTAGTGATTTATCTAGTCACCAAGCCAGAATATAAACGCCAGCCTGCGCCAGAGGAAGACCATGTACCATTGGATAACTAATTCAAAATTCGGAAATAATTTTGAAATTTTATTTTCCTTGCTGTAGCTTTAAAAAATTATTTTCGATTAGTGTTTTTAAAAAAAATAAGTTTTAATATTATTTTTAATTTTTATTTAATGAAGTTAACCAAATTATTAAACACTAATAGCTCATAAGTATAGAGATTAAGTGATATTCATTTTATGAAAAGCTTTGTTTTCCCTGTAATTCAAAAATGCTATCTGATATATATATGAAACCTTCACATATTTTTGTATATTGCAAGTTGTAATTCATAAGTTGGCAAAGAAACTGAAACTTTGTTGATTTGGCTCTACTTATATTGACATATCATTTTTTTTTTTTTTTTCAATCTTATTTGAATATCATTTTTGTGTTAATGGTCTGGAAATTTCTAGTTTACTTATTTCCAACTAGTCTTACCTGTTGAAAAATTAGAAAGGTTAAAATCTTATTAAAACACTAATAAGATATGAATGATTGGACCATCAGAGACTTGAATAAATAGTTATTATAAGTCAAAAAATAAATATTTGACTAATTATGAATCAGTCACATGATTCTTACTTGAAATGCTAATATTTCATCAGGTTATTTTAATCCCACCCCCACCAATTGTTAACTTTAAAATAAAAGATGTTCCCCTGACATTAAGTACCTTTCACGAGAGGCAGGTAAGAACTTGCTCATGCAAAAAAAATTCCAAATTTACATTCCATTCAAATATAATTTTTCCTGTCAAAATTAGGGATATAAAGAATTCAGTATTATTTTTAAAGTTCTTTTCCAACCAACTTTTCATAACTGTTGTTGGGTCTAGTGAATCCATATTGTGGTCTCAGTGTTGGTGTAATTATCTTTAATGATGATATTTTATCTTTCTTTCATATTGGGTGCAATAGTTTTTGTAGCAGCGGAACTTAAGTTTACATGGTTGTTAAAGTTAAAACTTTCAAAGTTGTTTGTTAGTGACACATTTATTTTTTTTATTTCTGTTATTATAAAATCAAATCTGTCATTAGGAAATGGGAATTATTCTTTTTGCCTGAGTATTTATAAAAAGAAAAATATAATTTGTAATGTTCTTTCAAATATAATTTTAAAAGCAAAATAGTGTGCCTGATTATGGATAATAATAAATAAACTCATTAAGTTAACATGAGGAATCAAGTTTGTTTTACATACTTTCAATTTACTTGCAAATTTTAAATTTATTACAGCTTTGCATTTCAGCTACTCATTTATTGACTCAATTACTATATTTAAAAGTTTAGACATATTAATGGCATTAAAACCATAAAAGTTATAGAAATAAAAAACCAGTAGCCATTAATTAACTTGATATTTTTTAGCTGTTTTAAATTAGTTTATAAGTTACTTAACCAAAGAAGAATTAATTCAATGTTTTATTGCAAGCTCCAATAACTGCACAGAATAATAAGTATTTGTGATTGTTAATTATACTACCTTTTATCACTAGAGAGTTTTCACTTTCAGACTTTCACACATGTTAGAATTCCTTGGAGGAAAATTAAAGTTATGACAAGAAATAACCACCAAATCTTTACTTAATGGTTGGTGGTGGGTTTATTCAAATATTCTTTGATTTTCTATTTTAATTACGTAAATGATTGACTCTATTTTTAAAGTGTTATAAATCTTTATCGTTACACCCCTGTTTGTCATTAATATTTTATTTTTAAAACTAAAATTCATCTCCATTCTCCACAGAAATGTGACCTGTTTTAGATGAGCTATGATCTCTTTCTCTCTCTCGTCAGTATTTGTAATCTTTGTGTCTTTATGTAGAATTTTACATGTTTTTTAGGAAACATAGATCTATTTGTAAAACTTGAGATGAAAACTGCTGCCTCACAAAACTATAATGATCTGTTTATTTCTAAGGTCTGGACGGTAGAAATATGATTTTTAAATATTAAAATCTCCAGCTTTTTTGTGAAATAAGACCACATATGTCAAAAAGCCACATTTGAGAATCATGAACATAAATAATGCATAGTACCGGTATAAGAATGAGCCACATCCACCTTCCTAGATAGGTCTAATTGAAACCCATTGTTTAGGATCTCTGCAATAAATCATGCTGGGATGTTTTAAAAAAAAGCTATTTTCTTTGTTTGAATGAATGTCTTGGTGTGGTCATTAATAAACAAAAATAAATTGTTCAGTTATTATTCATTTATATTAATTTTCATGGGTCTTGACAAGGGAAATAGATTTATAAATATATATATATATATATTGATGCATCAGAAAAACCTGTATATAATATATTTTAATCCTTGTTTCTGTGATATTGATTCAATCAAATCTGTCATTTCGTTAGTTACTGCTGTAGTTTTGTCTCTAGTTTTAGAATTGAAAGAATTATTTTTTCAAGAACTTTTGACTCAAAGGAAATTAATTGTTAGTGGTTCCACTGAATTTTATAAGCACCCATAGATTAATTTTTTTTTAAATAAAAATTAAAACAGCAAACATCAATCACCTTGCTAAATTGTTAACATCTTTCTTATATATTTAAGGCATGTCTGCAGTGAGCTTATGGGTAAAAAAAACATTAGTTACCTAATATCATAATACTTTCAGATTAGAACTCATCGGCCATAATTTTTATCTATCCCAGAACAGGCATTTACTCTTCTTAAGGCTACATTTTATCTCAGCTTATATCTCATTAATTTTTAAATAACTCATGTGTTGCAATAGATTATCTATTTGATGCAATGTTTACTACAATACAATTGTATAATTATGGTACAATGATTTGGATAATTCTAGCCAAACAGTAATAGTCATAATAACTTAAATTTGATACCATTCACTTATGACGGTGACCACTTAATTGTCATAAAAAGAGAGAAGAATACGAAATGGTATGAAAATTATGCTGGTTTCACTTCCCTAAAGGCTTATTAAATTTATTTTTGCTTTCATTTTATCATCAGGAACATCAGCCCATTTAAATTATGATTTAAATTAGACAAATAAAACACCTGATTTACATTTTAAAAATTGATTTTAACTTCATTCATTTATCTAATCTATTTATATTTAAAGGTACTTGCTAAAAAGTTAACTTTTGTTTGTTTTTATGCATTATTAGGCTCATAATATATTATTTATTAATATATTATTATAATTGCAAATTTTCACAATAACAAATTTAATTTTATTAAATTAAATTTTTCTGTTTTTAGAAATTAGAAATCGACTAGGGGTTTGAGACAGCGGGAAAACTATTTTTTCTTGTCAAATGATTTAATAAGAAGGTATTGGTGGAAGCATGATTTTTATTAAACATTAGAATTTGGCATAATACTAAAATTTTCAGTAATCTATTCAATAATATTAATAAAAATAATTCAGTGGTTTAAATTTTGCCTTTATTTAAATACTTTATTCTCTTATCTTTTTGTTGCCGAAAAGAATTATGAAAAAAATTGTATGCATCCTACAGACAATTTGAATTTGTACTCTGCCTCATATGATCATAATTTGCTTAAGAATTATGATATATTTTCCATTGCATGTCATTCCATATTTTGTAAATTAATTTTTATTCTTAGCCAAATTAATTTTTGTATGCACTATTCATATTTATAGTCAAATAGAAAAACAGACTAAGCATTAAATCTTTCAATAAAAATGTTATGAATCCTCCATTTTTAGATGCTACTAATACTGGTAATACTATACTCAGGCAGGTAAGCCTAAAGAGCTTCAATGAAAATTGTTCAAAGTTTTTATAATGAGTGTCAAATAAAATTTATTTCAAAGAATTGTCAAACAAGGTGTGATAACTCTGTAGTGACATTTTAGTATTTAAATATAGATTTTGTTTTCATCAGATGCTCAATCAGGTTGAATCTTAAACATTTTTACAATCACATTATTTTCAATTTAACTTTTATAACTCAAACTGAGAGAAGCTGATTAAAAGGTCATTGTAATAAGGATAAAATGCTAAATGAATAATATATGTATTGTAAAAGTTTAAGTAATATCTACTATAATGATCCTATAAATTAGTGTAAAATTCTTGAGATTTAAATTCATATCGTAGCCAATTTTAGATGCAAACAGCTGCACTTTTTGAAGGAAAGGTGTAAAATAACATTTATCAAGGTTTTCATTTATTCAATATTTTTTTGAACCCAGTAAACAAAAATGTCAAGGTTTTTTAATTGAAATATTCTAAATTGATCCAGGAAAACTTCAACTGTGCTGTTTTAATCAAAAGATTTTACCTGCTAATATATAAAATGATAGAAACATAAAAATTGCCTTTTTGAAAATGTCATTTGCATTGAGATTTTTTTTTCAAGTTAAAAACAATCAAATCTAAAAATAAATCATACATTGAATGAGATTAACATGAGTAGTGCTTCATTTCCATACTTTTATTAGGTTTTCCTAATGATTCTTCTAATTTTATTTTTGGCTGCGCACAGTATATGTAATTTTATTGATATGTCATTAAAATTGTACATAATTTGACCTGCATGTCACTTTTATTTCCTTAAAATAAATTTCACTATTTGTTTACTTTTTGTTTCTATATGGTTTAAAATATTTCATTTAATTTGAAAATAAAGAACTATAAAATGTACCTGTTTGTGAAAACTAAAAAAAATTGCAAAAATAACTACAATTTTAAAGACATGCTAAAGTTATGTTATGATTAAGAAGTAACTATTACTTTTTAATGCCAGTACTGGGTAATGATACAAGTTTTAAAAAATACAAATAATGTTATTTAATTTAAAAAATGTCAGAAACTATTCAAATGTATTATTTTGCTATATAATTCTCTTTGTAGTTGTAGTAAGTAACTTTGTAGCATATAGTTTTGTTTTAATAACTACATACTTAACAATATGTTATAGTTCCAGTCACAGGTTTAGTATAATTCTTGAAATGCCAAATTTGAACTGAAAAATGGTGTACAGTTAACTTTTATTTTGTATAAAAATGAAGTTTTCATATCTATTACATTTTTTTAATATAAAAAATTGAAATAGCTTCTTTTAGTTTTGTTCATTTAAATGTAGGTTTAATTATTATTATTTTTTAAAAACCATAGCCTTTATATCTTTATGTACATGGCTCATTTTTCAGCACATTCTTGGTTACTTGGTTTTTGTAGACAGTTACCCAAAAATGAAGTACTTTATTAAATTTAATTTCCAACAGAGTTTTATTATTATTGAAATATTTGCTTCCAAAATGCTCTGTTATATAAAGTACAAGGAAAACTTTGAACTTTAAAATAATACAATATTTTTCACTTATCGCTCTCAGCTAATTGATTATCTCCTTTTTCTTTTTTTTTTTTTTGTTTATATTTTTTTCCCTGATTTTTTAAAGGTGACTAGTAATTTTTATTTTATTTTTTTACTTGAAGGTTTTTATTATTTTTTTTATAAAGTACAAGGAAAACTTTGAACTTTAAAATAATACAATATTTTTCACTTATCGCTCTCAGCTAATTGATTATCTCCTTTTTCTTTTTTTTTTTTGTTTATATTTTTTTCCCTGATTTTTTAAAGGTGACTAGTAATTTTTATATTATTTTTCTACTTGAAGGTTTTTATCATATTCTTACTATGTATTGTGTACTCCCTAAGTCTACAGTGAGTTTTGTCATTCCCAATATTGTGACTTGCGAAATTGGTGTGCTATAGAGGTACCGTATTAAATATTTATTGATGTTGCAGATAATGTCTTCAGTATTTTTTTTTTTAACTCTTAAAATAATTGATTTTGAACAAAACCTCCTCCAGTCCAAATTCCCAAGGACCTGGTGTAAGACAATGTATAAGAGGCTGCATCACAGACGAATACTTTGTCAGGACAAGTATGTGTGCAAGGAAGATGTGAAGAGCGATGGCTGAGAAGTTTGTTCCAGCTGGCAGCACTGTTGTCAAATAGAAAGTGACACCGACTGAGCAAAGAACAGCAGCTTTTTATGTTCACCCATAGAGAGTGGTTATAGTCTCTTCAAACTTTTAATTATCTCATTGAGGAGCTGATAAGAATCCCTAAGATGAAAAGATGTAGATTGGAATTACTTACATCTAATAGCTCATCTCATGCACTTTAACAGAAATTTTTATTTGTTTTGTAAAACATTCAATATATTTCTGTGGAATTTCTAAAAGATTACAGTTTTTTCTGAATTAACTGCTTGGGTAACTTTCTCTGTAAGCCCTACCATTCCTAAATTGATAATGAACAATATCACAACAAACTACACCTTTATGCCTGCGGTAATATTTATCTTCCAAAAAGCTGTTACTGATTTGGAGCTCGGTTGTGGAGCAGAAGAAATTTTGTTGAGAAGGTAGAAATTTAACCCCCCAAAAATTTGCACATTGTTTTTGTCAAGTGCTTAGTTCAAAGTTGGCTGAAGACATCAGCTCTAGCTCTAGACCAGGGTTTCTTTACCTTTTTTATAACAACACAACCCCTCTCAATTTTCCATGGATAAAAATTATTGCTATAAAATAAATACATTTGAAAATCTTTCAACAATGGTAGTTATCATTCTTAAATTTACTTGGAAACATGCTAAAATACAATAGTACGCTATAAATAATGCGCAAATAAAATAAATTACAAAAATATCTGATAGCGCTAATAAAAAAATTTTTAAAACTTTTTCTTCTAATTGAGAGCTGAAACCAGCCATTTAGAATTACCAGCTTTATGAATGAAAATTTACGGTTCAGAATTGCCAAAACTCTATGCATGACAATTTACTGGCAAATATTTCAACGCTTTAACAGTTTTAACAGACATATTTTAAAAGACTTAGTAATAAGTTTGTGCGGTTTTCATTTATGTCCTAAATTTTTTTACAGACAGGCTGTATTTAAGTCAAATTATTTCGGACTGTACGTAAATTTAAGGGTGGTTGGTAAACCTGCTTCAGTGGAAAAAAAGTAAAAGGGGGAAAAAGATTTTAATGAGAATGTTGCTACTATTTTGCGTTTTGTTTTCTTTGTAAATGAGTGAAACAAATCCCCGCAGGCCTAATATAGGAGTAGAATAAGTCACTACCCAGCAAGCACGTTGTACGAGGTGACTTATTGTATCATGCTTTGCAACGGGCTAGCAACCCATTCGTTGCAAGAAAATCAACAACCGCTACGTCACATTGGGAAATGGCGTCAGTGGGCCTTCGAGCACGAGCTCTTAATGCCCCCCCCCCCGGCACACCGCCACACGGGCCAGACGCCGGGTCTCGCCGCTGACAGACCATGCGGCGGCACGCCGGGAACCTCCCCCTGGCCTGGGGGACGTCCGGCCGACCGAAAACGCTGCATTTAAACCGTTCGCAGCTGACTCTTCCGATGGTTTGGGCAGGTTTGCTTCCACTCCGGGGAAATGGTGTGGCGTTACGACTCCCCACCGCCCAGGGAGTCTTTCGGTCGGGACGAAAGCTGGGACAACCGCTACGAAAACATCCACAACTAATAAGCGTTTGTCTCCCCCAGCGAGGGCGGGTTCTTAGAAAGGGAATTATGACCCATAAGGGAGCTAACTTGCCGACTTCCTGTCTGACGCTGAGGAAAAGTCCCAGGATTGGCCACTGTTCGCAGATGACACTGCAGTGTATAGGACGATCGCCAACAGATAGGACCAGCTACAACAGGATCTCAATCTGTTAGCTGAGTGGGAGATTCGCTTTGAATGGAATTTCACTTTGCCAAGTGCCAGACACTATCAGTCTCTAGAAGTTGTACTCCTCTACACTACCAATACGAACTGCACGGCCATATACTTGAGCCAGTTTCCTCCGTAAAGTACCTGGGTGTTATCATTCAAAGAGAGGTCCGCTGGGACGAGCATATTAACAATGTATGTAACCAAGCAAACAAGACCCTAGGGTTCTTAAGGCGAAATCTAAAGATTGGAAACTCCTGCTTGAAAGAAAGAGCATATAAAGCCTTTATCCGTTCGATTTTAGATTATGCATCTTCAGTCTGGGACCCATTTACCCAGAAGAGCATTGACAGGTTGGAGGCGGTCCAGCGACGAGCAGCACGCTTTGTCCTAAACCGCTACAGGAATACCTCTAGTGTTGGCAGCATGCTAGAAACATTAGGCTGGTCACCATTGGAGAAACGATGACGACAATCCAGGCTCTCCATGATGTACAAGATAAATAATGGGCTCATCCACTGTTCCAATATTAAACAGAAACTCGTCCCTCTCCCCCATAGACAGCAACGAGGCCATGACAGGCAATTCAGGCTCATACCAGCAAGAAGCCAGTATAGGAGCTGCTCATTCCTGCCCAAGACAATCAGGGACTGGAACAATCTTTCAAAAGGAACGGTTGAGGCGACAACACTAGACACATTTGTTCAAGCCTTCAAACCCCTAGTGCATGATTTCCTCATCAACACCAGTAACAGAAACATTGCAAATCCCATCTACATGCATAGGAGCCAAAATGATCAATAAATTGATCGTGGGCCCTTAAGATATAGAAGAAGAAGAAGAAGAAGCAACTATGGAACAGATGAGATACATAGTAGACATCTTAGGAATAAGTGAGGCAAGATGGACAGGAAATGGATTTGCTAAACAAATACCTGTAGAGTTCATTTTATACTCTGTTCATGAAGAAGAAGATGGCAGACATTGTGAAGGAGTAGCCCTGATACATGTTACCAACTGCAAAGAAGGCTCTGATTGAATGGCAGCCTGAGGGACCCAGGATAATAAGAGCAGTCTTTATACCTTTCAAGAAAGACATCAACCTAAACGTCATCCAAATTTATGCACCAACAAATGACAAAGAGGAGAAAATAAAAGAAGAGTTCTGTGAAAAACTTCAGAATGGTGTTTCAAGTGCGAGAGACAAGGATTTTAACATTATCATGGGGGACTTCAATACCCAAAAAGGAAACGTTAATACGGGTTATGAGGAAGTAATGGGAAGACACGGATTAGGAAACATGAATGAAAGAGGAGAGACGTTTGCAGATTTTTGTATTTTTGTGCAAATAATCGCCTGGTAATAGGTGGAAGCATATTTCCACACAAGATGATCCATGAAGTGACCTGGATATTACCAGGCCAAGACCAAGAGACCCAAAGCCAGATTGATCACATATTATTATGTATCAATAAAAAGTTCAGAAACTCACTGCAAGATGTTAGAGCCTATAGGGGAGTAGACGTTTCACCCGACCATAGCTTGGTGATAAAGAAAGTAATGCTAAAACTAAAAAGACAGAACACCATTCAAAAGAAAAGACAGCGCTATAACACAGATTTTCTTAAAGATCCTGAAAAGAGAGTTTAAAATAACCCTAACAAACAGATATGAGGCTCTGCAACAGCTCGAGAACATAACTGAATAAATAGAAGATCAATGGCAACATATTACAGGGATTTGGACGAACGCATGCGAAGAAGTATTAAGGAAGAAAGATTAGGGAAGAAAGAATATCACCATAAGGAGTGGTTCTCATAAGAAACAATATCCAAAATTAAAGAGAGGAAAAGAAAGAATATAGTTTATTTAGAGAGTAAAACAAGAGCAGCAAAAGTGACTGCTTTTGATAACTACGCAGATGCAAATAAAGAGGTTATAAAGAACAAGAAAGATGAAAGGAGATTTATTGATGAAATTGCTATGGAGGCTGAAGAGGCTGCATCAAAAGGTAACCCAAGGGACCTGTACAATGTAACAAGGAGGCTGACAGGAAAGTTTCATCAGCAAAGCAGAGTAGTCAAAGACAAATTGTGGAAAAAAATAACCAACAAAGATGAACAAAAGAAAAGATATCTAGAATATTTCAAAGAACTACTAAACAGGCCAGCCCCACAAGAATCACCTGAAATTCTACCTGCAGAGGAAGGTCTACTCATTGACTGCAATGTACCCAACAGAACAAATATTAAAAATGTGATCAAACTATTGAAAAATGGAAAGGCTGCTGGGCCTGATAGAATACCTGCAGAAGTACTAAAGACAAACCTGGAACTGTCATGAAGCATACTTCACCAGCTAATTGTGGCTATCTGGGACAAAGAAGAGATACCCATGGAGTGGAGGGAAGGATACTTGGTCAAACTTCCAAACAAAGGAGATCTTTAAGAGTGTCTGAGTGTGGAAACTATAGACTATAGAGGAATCATGCTGCTTTCTGTACCAGTAAAAATACTAAATAGAATTATTCTGCAGAGAATAAAAAAAAGCAATAGACTCCAAACTAAGAGATGAACAGGCTGGTTTTAGAGATAACAGATCATGTACTGACCAAATAGGAACCCTTTGCATAATCATGGAACAGTGCTTGGAGCGGAATGCATCATTGTACCTAAATTTTGTTGACTTCAATAAAGCATTTGATAGCTTAGACAGAGATACACTCTGGAAACTACTAAGACATTTTGGTATTCCCCAAAAGCTAACTAACTTAAGTAAGGACACATACAAGGATATGAGTTGTAGGGTTATACATGAAGGTGAACTCACAAACCAATTTGTGATAGAATCTGGAGTTCAACAGGGATGTCTGCTCTCACCATTCCTCTTTCTGTTATCCATTGACTGGATCATGAGAGAAACAACACAGGATGAGAAAAATAGAAACCAGTGGATACCTTTCAGATAATTGGAGGATTTGTATTTTGCAGATGACATTTCACTTTTATTACATAGCCACAAACAAATGCAGGAGAAAGAAACAAAACTTGACTCTGTATCACAGCAAGTTGGACTTAGCATAAATAAAAGGAAAACCAAGACCTTAAGAATAAATGCAGTGATGATGGAGTCACTGGGATTAACCTGAGAGGTGCCTTTCTTGAAGAAAGTGAGACTTTTACATAACTGGGAAGCATCATAAATACAAATGGTGGCACAGACAAGGACATCAAGTCGTGGGTCCAAAAGGCCAGAGGAGCATTAAATGCCCTGCGAAACACCTGGAACTCAGTGAAATACTGACAAAAACAAAGTTAAAAATATTCAACTCAAATTTCAAGGCACTTCTTGTGTATGGCTGTGAAACTTGGAGAACAACAAAAACAAACATTAAAAAACCTGCAGTTTTTTAATAAACAGATGCTTGCAAAGGATCCTCAAAATAAGATGGTTTGACTTGACAAAATTTGTAACAATGTCCTTTGGGAGAGAACATCAAGTGTTCTGGTTGAAACAGAGATAAAGATGAGAAAATGGAGATGGATAGGGCACACATTAAGTAAACCAAACACTAAAATCACAAGATAGGGGAAAGCTTTCTGAATACATTAAAATGATGAACAACTATGTAATCGTCTATGTTTATTGTTAGTTTTCTTTTTAATTTAGATTTATCAATTTAAACAAATAAATAATAAAAAGTAGGTAATCTACTTAATCTATTGCAACTCTCCAAATTAAATGTCAATGATTCGATGAAATTGCTATTTAAAATAAACTTTTTATAACTAAGTATTTAAATTACAAGACTTGTATACTTATTCCAATAATTATATGTGGAGAAAAAAAAATTCATTTTAAAAATATGTTTTGTTGTGCGTGTTCAGAAATATTACACATAAATTATAAATTAAAATTGAAAAAACTTAAAACCTGGCAATCTAAGGAAGTTAAATGCGTGAAGGAAGTAAACAAAGCAAGCATCCGGTACACAAATAACAAGGCATCTTCGTGTTTTATTGCAATTTTCATTTGATTGTTACATATCCTTACAAACAAATTTCTGATGATTAAAGTATATTTATAGTTTTAATAGTAGTTCTTAATTTTTAGCAAACTTATAAATTAAGCAGGACACATACTTAAGTTGTATTTCCTTAAAATGAATTAAGCTTAGGCATCATTAAAAATATGTATAGTTAATAGTATAGTTTTAATAATTTTAATAGTAGATCTTACTTAATTGTTAGCAAACTTATAAATTAAGCAGGACACATACTTAAGTTGTATTTCTTTAAAATTAATTAGGCTTAGGCATCATGAATCATACTATTCCACTATTTGTAATTTTTTTTTTAGTTCTTACAAATACAAGTTTTACTTTTAGTAATTTAATTAATTTATTATAAATTATTATGCCATTATGCTGCTACTAAACTAAGTAGGCCTATTATAAATTATACTAAATTATTGTAGATTATACTATTAAGTATTAGTATACTATGGACCTATGATTTATAAGTATAAGTCATACACTGAGACTGAGTAACACCGAAGTAACACTTTATAATAAAGTTAAAAAGTATATAATACTAATTAGTACAGTGAGTGAGTCTGTCTAGGTATAAATAGACTATAACTTAAACTATTAATAGTATATATAGATAACCATAGTAGATTTATAAATAATAGTATAGTAATTCTGGTTGATTTTGGGTTAGCGTTAAATCTGGCAATGTGTTCCACGGTATATAATATAATAAAGGACACGGAGGTTCCCCCAGGTTCACTTCCGTCTACAGCGCCATACTAAAAAGATTTTGATGTTTATATTCCCTTATTGCAAGTTATTGTTTTCTTATTTTATATTTTTGAAATTGTGGAGGGGTTCTGGTGAGTGGTCTCCCCAGAGGATTTCTTTGTTTCTTGTTTTGGTATTTAAAGTTGGGGGAGGGTTTCCCCTTCCCAGTCCCTTGAAGATCATTCCAAATGCAATTTAAGCAGTATTCTCCCCTTTGTTACCGATGTTGTAACATACGGATATTTTGATTTTCAGCTAGTCAAAATACAGCACTTTTGGCGTGCATCTGTTTTTCACTGGTGTTGGGTCTTGGGGTATCAGCATTAGGTGTTTCTTTATCCTCTTCTTTGGAACGTGTAAGAATATTTTAAAACAAATTAATGGAAAATTTCAATGTACTTCATATTAACCGTATCGTCTATGACGTGAGTAATGCCCAATAAAGAAAGGAATGTTATCACACACATCGTTCGGGTCCTACAATTATTAGGTTTATTCACTTGAAATCCAGTGTTGGGATTCCTCAAAGTGACGTCACTGCGCTTAGGGTGAGACAATTCTTGGCAAACCGATACCGTTAATCCAAAACTTACCAGTAATCCTTAGAATTAGCATACGATTCTACTATTTCTACTCAATATAAGTAATATAACGTCATCAAATGAAAGTAATTCAACGTGGTTATTGATTTTGACAAAGGTTGAGATAAAAAGTATGGTAAAAGCCCTGAGTGAAGAAGTGTCTGTTAAAATTCTTGCCTCTAATATAATATTAATGTCAATTATTTTACGATGACATTAATATTATATTATAGAACTAAAAAAGTAATTAGGAGTTTTAAAAAGTGGTTCCAGATTTTGGAATTCCCATTGTTTTTCTGATTTCACTTTTTTTTTTTATGATTGCAAACACAATCATAACTATTGACACATATTTTTTAGGCCAGGGTTGGGTGGAGCACAATGCTTCATTCCTTACTTTTGCATTCTTTTTATATAATTTGGGATAAACTTTGCAACTTTTTTCAATACTGTAGTATCCATCAGTAATGCAGCAAGACCCATCATTGACCTGCGGTTTCCTCCTTCCCTCACAATATCTCAGATTTTATATTCTGTACATTGCAGTTATCGAAATTAATTAGTTATTTTGATATTTATTACATTAAGTTGTAAACTGAAGACAATGGTGTCTTGTTTATGAAAGTACCATAATAGGAAGTGTCATAATATTATATTATATACAGGGCTCATTTGGCCTATCATACCCAACTGTTTCATTTTATTTAATGATAATCTTTCTTTAGTCTTTATATTGTATTCATTGGCCAATGTTTTTTTATAGCGTTTAGAATTTTTACAATAATGAATATTGAACCCCCCAAACTCTTGTTACAGGTATTAACTTTATTTAATTAAAGGCCTTCATCTTATGCTATTGATTGATTTATTTTCTGCATCATCATGTAATTATATTTTCTTCAAGGTCTTAATAATTATTCTGATTAATTTCTTCAAGGATTTGGGCATCTTATATGAAATAATTTATAGTTAAATATAGAAAATGTTGAAATTTTTATTATTGCAAATCATAATTAAATATAATATAATGACAAAGCTAAAGTTGTTACTCATGTTCCCATTGATACATTAACTTAAGTATACTATTTACTGTTATCTTCAATATAAAAAAGAATGAATATTAAAGTACTGGTAATTTTTTAAAATAATATTTTATTAAATAACTTAAATTTTTATTCAGCTACACCAAAAAGAATACTGCATCTTCAAGCTGAAAAACTCCATCTGTTAAGATGTCACTCATAGATATAGATATATTACCTAGACAAATATCACAGGATGTCAGACTAAATCAGCAGCAACAGGCTTCTTCACTTCCACCCCCTGTGGTGGATCCAGGTTCTAGCCGTCCTAGCAGAACATCTGGCACATCTAGAGATTCTGGTAGTCGAACAAGAAGCTCTAGAAGAAATCATGGGCACCGTAGTAGATCTTCCAACAGTCGACCCAGAAGTAGACACAGACACTCTAGTAGACATCATGATCGTTACAGTACAAGAATGTATTTTAAGCACAAGGAGCGCAATTTTTCTGCAGCGTTATTCAGTATGATTACAATTGTTTTGCTCTGCACTTCACTTGAGCCAGACTGGATATTTCTTACTGTAAGTTTTATAAATAGGAGTTATTACATTACATTACAAAATAGATTTTTAATGGCATTAGTTTGTGTTGTGGAAAGGTAGCTTTGTATTTATAACTTAAGTAACTTACTAATATTGCTTAACAATGTTATGTTGTATGTTATCCTACAGTAAAAGTAAAATATTAATTTTGTATTTGATCAACAGGGAGGTGGATGTCATTTACTTCCTAAACCTGCTGGAAGTTTAAAACAGTTGAGCACAACACAATTTTTTTATAATGGCCACTTCTATAAAAATTATCCAAACACTGGCTTAGATGACGTAGTTTACAAGTTTGGTCCTGGAGCTAATGACAGTATGTGTGGTTGATTATAAAACATTTTTTTAATTATGGAGAGAAAACGAATTAATGATGCATGACTTATATACTTAACTAAGTTTTCAAATGATAATATTTTTAATAACAAACATGCTTAGTTTTAATACATTTAAAAGAAAATAATTAATTGGAAAAAAAAGGATGTTCATCATTTTGAAAATGTCTTTAGAAGTTCCAGTTGTAGACCTGGTTACTGTTATGATTTTGGAGTATAATGTAAAATTTGGAGATGTGTTTTACAATTGTGTGTCAAGATCAGTCAGAACTATGACTAAAGTGACTGGGTGGAAAAAAATATTCCAGGAGTTTTTACCACAAAATTTTCTTTTACATTTGTTAATTTTGTGTCCGATCCTGAATCGACAGAGACATACCATTGGTTGGATACATCCATGATTATATTAAGTACGCACTGAAATGGAAAGGGAGGGGTGGTCAGTGGTGTTGACTTAGGAGTGGGAGAAGTCTAATTACCACCATCTCTTTTTGTAATGATGGTGATGGTCGTCAATTTGTTGCCTTGTGTTTTCACAATCAACTCGCTAGATACGACAACAGCAATATTTGCCTTGTCACCCTGGTAAAAATTTAGTTAACATTGGCTTGTTTGCTTTGGTGCTGTATGTCAAAATTTTGTGGCATAATTATTTCATTCTTCGGCTGAATCCTAGCAATTGCAAAAATGGAGAAAACATGCATTTAAAAAAAAAAATGCACTAATCAATTACTCTGCACAGCAGCTTCAGATTTTGACATATATTATAAGATATAGTAAGGAACCATGCACATATTATATAACGCGAAGGGGGTAGAGACTGAAATAAAGTAGATAGAAATAAGTGTAATCTTAAATTATAAAACAATTTACTACTTAATAATAATAATAATAAAGTTCATTTCAAAAACACGCTTCATCCCCAAAGGCTCGAAGCGCGGTACAAAGTCAACAAAAAACAAATCTATAATTTACCACATTTAAAACAAACGCAACACTACAAAAACTAATTACAAGCATACAATGGCAAAGTCTTTCTAGCCATTTCAACCCTAAGCAACACAGCCAGTATGCATTAACTGGAAAATAAGGTAGACAATCATCAATAACGAGTAAAATTAAAGGATTTTTATAAACACGGCTAGGTAAAAGGAACCTAATTTTTCGCAAACATTCTGATTCAGTGTAAAATGATACAAAACTTTATTCAGATATAAATATAAACAAAAGTGCATCCCTGGGCTTTGAAGTTATAAAAAAACAAGTTCTGGGTTTTAGCGCCCTCCCCTATCCCCCACCCTGGTTCCATGTTTCCACACCTCCACTCCTTTTCATCTAATTAAACTCACTTTTTATTTTGAATTCTTCCTCAGTTATGGTGAACTGTGTGACTTACCCAACTGTGTTGTTGTTTAAAACAAGTATAGCCTTTGTTTTTATTGCCATAGCATGTAGCATGGCAGCATTTCTTCTGGATTTGGTTGGGCCAAGCTATCAACTTCTTAAGTTGTTGAGGAGAAATGCCATTTTTAATATCCTTACAGGTAATCCTCTTCTTTTAAACCTTTAGTGGATAATTTTTCTAATTTAATTAATAGGTAAACATATTCCATCATGCTACATGATTTAATTAGTGAGAGCGCTAAGGAAATTTTCAGTTTCCACAGACCAAACTATTTGCTTATTAATGCTGTCAAACGGTATTTAAGGTCCAAATGGTTTTAGCTGAGGTTATAACACTCTTTGTAGCTACTATTATTTATTAGTATTTTTTATTATCAAAGTTTAATTAAGCATTACGGTACTTTGGGAATTATTTAATTGTTTTCTGTGATTTTTTAAAACTCAAATAACATAAAGTATTTAAATTAAACTTTCATTTGTCTGAATCTTGCAGTAAAATTTAAATACCGGTGCCAAATTTAAAAACCAACTATTAATAATAGGTATTTGAGGGGAAAACAAATTTTTAAGAGTAAAGTAATGAATATAATGCACAAAGAAAGCTTGGAAATACCTGTTATTAAATGCCTCTTTAAATTTATTATTATATATTTTTTTTTTGTTGTTAAAACAGTTGTCTTGTGTGTTACCATCAATCTGTTTACTTACTGGATCACAACAGCAATTGAAAAGCTGCAATCTTCATCTCGTCTACATGATGGCAGTAAAGTGCAGGTTACATTTGATGTAAGCTTCTATCTAGTGACTGCTGCAGGTGGATTGTCAGTGTTAGCCACTGCCTGTAATTGTCTGCGAAGACATACAATGTACGAATCGACTGAATCTTCTCGAAATCCAGATTACTTATACTTTGATGATACTGAAGCTTTAATACCACCACCATCTCCTAGTACAGATGTTGCTTCACTCACTAATTTTCCCCCTCCACCAGCTTATACCCCGTAAATAATTCCATTGCTGATAGAACAAACTTTATGTTTTCATTTATTCATTTTGCTGTTGCTTGGGTTTGTGAATGGTCAAGGATGCATGTCCACTTGGCTGTAACATCTTGCTGGCTGGCATTAATTGATAGCCAAAACAAATGTTTGTTTCAAGTTGTGATTATATTATCATATTTGTTTATGTAAAAAAAAAATACAATGTATGTACAGAATATTAAGTTTGTGTACCTGTACCTGCAGTAGGTGTACATAATGTAACACATGCACACATTAATCATTAACAACTGCCTTAGTTTTATGTAAAAATATATTATGTAATCATTTTATTTATTTTTTGATGATTTTAAAGTTTTGTCATATATGTGGTTGCGATTTGCTTTCATGTTGATACTTTATGGCCATAATACAACACCCCTTTGGAAGTTAAAAGGGTTATTTCATTTTAAACCTAGCTCGAGTACTGAAAAATTATTTTTTTTTCCTGAAGTGAGAACATTTTTTCGTTTTCTTTGTAAGTTATGTAAATAAATATACTGCACTCGTATCAGCTGAGACTGAGTGCATAAAAAAAGATCCCACAAAGTCTAAAAAACATATTTGTGATATCTCATAATTTTTTGGGCAAGCTTATTTTAAAGTCATAATATTTATATATATATGTATATACACACAGACACATGTATGTATGTGAACTGTATATATATATATATATATATATATATATATATATATATATATATATATATATATATATATATACTGTATACATATATTTATATATATATATATATACACACACACATATATATGTATGTAATATATATATATATATATATATATATATATATATATATATATATATATATATATATATATATATATATATACTGTATACATATATATGTACTGTATACATATATATATGTGTGCGTGTGTATATTTCTCTCTATATATATTATTTTTCTATTTTTTAACATTATTTTTTTAAAAGATGAAGTGCTATAAATAAAACTATTTAAGATAATTGTTTAAGTTTAAGCTTATTCTCTTCCTAATATTATTTCTCTAATTGTACCCTGCTACATTATTTTTAGCTCTCAGTTCATTTGATAGCTACTAATGTATTTTAATAACTGATAGTTAAGGTTTGCTTACAAATGAAAGTTTTTATGATAATTGTTGAAATGAAGAAATGAAATAATGTGTAAAGATAAAATGAAATAATTTTTAAAAGAAAATAAATTATTACAGAGACCCCGAAGTCTTTCAATTTCAATCATGTCTTTTTAGCTGAATTAGGTCTAAATTAGGTCTAAATAAAGAAAAAATAATTTCATGTTAACAATGTTACTAGACTAAGAACAACATGGTGGTGCCCTTACTGTTTCTAGAACCAATTATAGGACACGTAAATACAGATGTTTCAAATTATTTGAAATAGGTATTGCATCTAGATTTTAATGGATGCATAACACAGACCTGTTTACTCTTACCATTTTGGCGTAAAATGTACAATTTTGAGGTGTATACATTATATAATACTGCATGTTTATTTTTTACTATTAAGATAATGTATTGAACGATTTTGTGTTGATATTGTACGATTTTAAGAGTTTGAGGGTAAACGGGTCTGATAATAGTTTTTTCAGCTAGATTTTGATCGCATTCAATCACAGTATAGTATTATTAACACTAAATATTTATTTTTTTTCTTTAAATTTAAAAATTATATAATATCTCCTCACCCCCAAAACATTGAATTTGAAAGGAATATTTCTCTGTGTTAAAAATACCCTTTGAAAAGTGGAAAGTGTGAATCATACTATCCTACCATCCAAACGGTTACAAAAATTTACACTACAATTCTCTCAATCCTTCACTCATTATTTGACCTGTTTATAACTTGAAACTTAGTAAATCTGTACGTAAATTGTGTACAATTTAAATGCATATCTTTACTGTCTTGAATATACTGTTCTGAATGTCAATTATAAAATACTTTAAATGTCCTGGATGAGTAATTAGGCTATATTTAACTTTCATCTTACATTCATTCTTTCATTAAAATATCTGAAAATTGAAAATACTGTACACCAAAGAAATATATCGCCTAATTAAAAGCAACAGAAAAAGTAACATCTAAAAACACTATATGATTATAGAATTAAGCCTTTTGCTAACTTCTAAACATGACGTAGTTTATTTGAAAATAATCTAAGACTTGTATTTTAAGGTTCTTTTAACAAAAAGAAACTGCCAAATTTAGTTTACTTATAAATCAATATTATCAAAGTTATGAACTCTCATACTTCAGAGCGTTTAAACCTGAGTTTCTCAATCTTTTTGCATTGTTGCACCCTTCTTGATTTCAAACATATCAAGAGCCCCCATCTCATTAAAAAAAAAAATTACAGCTCCCCACCATTAGAAAATGCAAATAAACTTACTTTTCTGTCTTCTTGCACCCCCACAACCTACCACCCTTTTTTAAAAAAGCCTGATTTAAACAAATTATTAAATTTTAAAATTCATCACTAATAGCAACAAAACCTATTCTGTCATTGACTCTGTGCAAGTATTATGAATTTCACAAGCTGGCTTTTGGTTATTTAGGTACAGGTAAAGCCATTTGAACACTGTCATACTTACATAACCTAAACTTAAAATTAATTTTTTTTTTTTCATCCCACAAGTCTTTGTTTCTTTTTTAAAATGCTAACATTAAACTATACTTTTTTGGACATAAGATGTAAAATTTTAATATAATTTTTAAATTGATAATACATGTTTTTATGAAATATTTATGTTGAGTTTTTTTTCATAGATTAATAAAAAAAATTTAAAAGTAAGAAGGCTTACACTTACACCAAGGTTGTTTATGTGGTAGATTTAGAAATGTTAAAATATTCTTCTTCCCTTTGCTCATAGGATTTATTGCATTCAGTAATGCTTAAATGACTTAACTGTTTTGAAAAATGTATTATCATGTAAATTTTCTTTGCAAACCATTTCTGATGTTTCCCTGTCTACCTGTGATGACAAAAATGTGAATGAAAAGAAAAAGGCGGAAATCAAACATGACTTTTTATTTTAATGCTTGTTAAATTTATGTTGATATTTGAAATTAAATAATTTTTAATCAATCCATCACAGAGTTTTATGGAAACATATTCAAGCATGTTCTCATTGTCTTGTCTTCACAGCAGTGTATGAAAAAACTAAAAACTTTTGTGAGTGGATCAGCTGTCTAAAACAATTTACCTAAACATATATTTAATAATTAATCCAAATGTTAGTGCAATTTAAGATATTTTAAATTTAGACAATTATTAGACTTGGATTAAACTTTTAATAAGTTTTTTTAATTAACTTAATTTTTGTTTGAATATAATTTTTCTCAAACATTCTTACCTACTTTACCATAAAATCTGCATTTTGTATAACTACTTTTCAAATTGAATTAAAGCACTTAATTTGTAATTGGTTGTAATTTAAATAACAATCATCCTACCAAAGGCCAATTAATACAGTAAAGCTAGTTAAAAGACATAATATCGATTATGGAAACATGATAAAAGCTTTTTAAAATGTTAGAATTTAAATTACTTTTTTATTTTAAAAAAATTTGAAAGGTTAATTTTTTAATATTCATCTCATCTGAGCTATGACAAAACTAAATTATTAAAATACTAGTCATAATCTTAAAATTAATGACATTACCACATTATTACCATTTTTTGAGTGCAAAAATAAAATGTTTTCCTCAGAGCATAAAAACAACATACAACACAATAATAGAGAACTTGCCCCAGTTACCATTATATTTGTATTTACAAGTAGAATTCTCTTTTATTCTTTAGCACAACTCTCAATGCCATAACTATTTTGAAAATATTAAGTTTTCTTTCATCAGACAAAACAACATTAATTCTGATCTTCCCCTCAACCAAATTTAATTAACATTTTTAAAATGTCATAGCATTCAAAACTTTTTTCTTTCTCTACATCAGCGGTTTCATAAATAAAGGGGAACATAATTGTGGTGAAAATGGTGTATGCAAAGTACCATATGGATAATTTATTTTTTAATATATGGTTTCAAGGATGTTTATTTTTAAATCTACTTACTATATCAAGAACAACAGAAGAGATAAAATATTTAATGTAATTTAGACAGATCATCCATTAGAACATGGGTAGATAAACAGTCTAAAGCAATAGTTCTGATTTTTTTAAATTGTTTAATTCTAGGAGTCCATTTTTTTATTTACATGATCCATTAATTAGATATGCTTTCCCATATGTAATGGAATATAAAAAATACCTTTAATGTAGCACTACAAAAAAAAATTCCAAAGAAAGTGTAACAATGATTTTTTAATCTTTGAAACCGGTATGGGAAGAAAATTTTTGGAAAAAAAATTGAAAAAGTGATTGATAGATAAAACTGCATAATAATCATATTTATTTAAAATACCTCTCACAACAGTGTAAAGTACAGATTGAAGATATAATACCATTTCAGAATTTATATTATGAATATTATACTTTTATATAGCATTTGATTCTGATTAAAAAACACTATATTTTTTAATCTTTATGTAGTTTTTTTTTTTTAAATTGGAATACAGCAACATTTGTTCAAATAAAAGAAGTACACATTTATTCCCTGAGATGCCTTAAGTTTAACTTGTAGTTTTAATTTAATATATAAAATATTGTTTAATTTGTAAGAAAAATAAATAAATGTGTGCTTTTCTAAATAGCATTAAAAAAAAAGAGTTCTTTTACCATGCAGTTCTCCTAAAACTGTTTCAATAAGAAAATTAAATCACAGGTTAGGTTTATGTACAGTCACCTAATGTGCTTCATTATTCATACACATTTAATGTTCTTTTAATATCTTCACACAGGTGCTTATTTGTAATGAATAACAATGGAGACAGTAATCAAGTCACAAAACAAAACTTAAGATATTCCAATGCCCTTCCGAGATAAAACTTCTGAAATACAAATAACTGTCATAAAATCGCTGAGTGTTTCTTGACTGAATGTTTATTTAAAGGAAAAAAAGTTTATTGTTATACTATTAAGGGCCACATGTATTTACTTAGCATAAACTGCATTAACTATGTTAATTTTAAGATCCAGGGAAATGTGGTAAACTGCACATAGCTTGTTTCTGAGGTTACATTTTTGATACAGTATCTCAAACCAATAACACTAGGAAATTAATAGTTTTCAATGTATTGTCAGCTTTTGTGATTCAGATTACTTTTCGATTTAAAGATTGGCAGAGGCAAATCATTGCTGAGTTGGTGTGTCATTGCCTGGAGGGGTTGGACTCTGTGGATCTTCATAGTCACAGATGACTCGGTTAGCCTGGCGTAAATACTGCTGCTGTTTATAGTAGATTTTCATGACACCCTTGATAGCTATGAAGGCAAAACCACCCTGAAATAAATATTATGAAACATTTAAATTTCTAGATGACATGTACATAGTTACTGTTGTTGTTTAACAGTCTTCATATGGGGATGGAAAGGAGAATTACTCATGTCCCTAATACCACACCTTGTTATATAATTTTTTTAATGTTTTTTTTTTTTAACTTGGAGTTTGAATTCCTTCAGAAATAAACTTAACTTATAGAAGTAGAACCAAATGTTTATCTTTT